CACATTTGATCATCTGATGCAAACCGTTCTTTTTATAAGTTGTCTAACTTAAGTAATGTAAACCTAAGCGTGGTGTATGACACATTATTCTTGAATTAAAGCCTTTTGGCCTGTACGTCACTACAAGACACAACAGATTGTTCAACATCCCATAGTGATATCAAGCGGCCCTTCATTGGCAGGACCGTCGGTGTTTTCTTATTGGGTCTACTGTGCGTATCATAATTGATGTAAAAGCTATACATAACCAACAAAATTTCAGCTTTTGAGTGGTGTCCATTACCTTTTGATAAGATTAAAATATGCAATTAAGACAGCTCTAATATGTTTGCCTTCCCACTAAGATTCAATTTCATTTCCTTCGGTAACTTTCAGCCAGAAGTAATGAGTAGCTGGGCCAAGCGAATCGCGACTATCGTTTTGTTAGCGACAAAGACCCGCCTTAGCTAATCTGTCTCCATGGTACAACTTTCGAGCGAGTATATCAAGCTGATCATGCTAATACGGTTGGCGTGTTGCACATTTTTTAAGTAATTGAACTCAAATCTGAAATATTATAAAGATATTTAAGGTCTTAAGTGTGGTCCTTTTAGAAGCTGGCTTCAGATGAAATTGGCTTGAATTAAAGCAGTCATGTCGATACACACCGCGTTTCCTTTTTCACTGGCAACACGAGCTGCTTTTTCCCGGACGTTGTGTTGTTTTCGAGCTCTAAGCTCTGAGCTTAAGCTCCTTGGGCGCTGATTGGCAAATGCCCGGATTCGCTGATCGTTCCTCTGCTTATAAGCACCGACTACAACTTGGGGGGCTTCTCACTCGTATTAAATTAACCCTTTTCCGTCTACGGGAATTATCACAAGGAACCGACTTGATTATCTCGACGGGACTGTACTCATGGGGGCTGATGCCTTGGAGGGACCTCGTGGGTTTTGACTCGTTTGAGCTCCCTTCAAAGGGACGTGAGCGGTATGAGATGCCGGTCACGTGTCTCTTCCAATCGAGATGGATACCAACCTCCTTGTCCGCTTCGGCTGCTGACGTAGTTCTTCATTATAGGAGGTAGCGTCAAGTTATCGTATCACGCAAAACATGCTGATGCTTAGAGCTACACCGCCATCAGCGGATGGCTCCTGTCCTTCGTTGAGCAGGTACAGCGTCCGGCGCTGTAAATATCCTGGTCATGCGCACTGCACTGGTTGTTAAGGTGGTGGAACGGCCCAGTGGAAGCATGGTCGTCACAACCGGATAGTCTGGCTAACAGCGCTATCACGAACATCTCCGCCTACCATGATTGACCATTTTCGGCTTAGTGTCGTGCTTTGCTTACATACGCTTGTCAGTTCTATTCGATGTAATGGAACAGGTACCCCCTAGAAGATGACGCCGGAAACGAAGCTTGTCGGTGCCGTTTCCGGTCACAGAGTATCGGAGAGTGCTGAAATCGCGCTGGCAGCTCGAGCTGCTTCTTGCCGGACGCATTGAGGGTCGTGTCGTTTTCGATCTCTGAACGCTGATCGACAAAATACCGGATTTGCTGATCTTTCTTCGGCTAAGAAGTATCGGCTACAACGTGTGGGGCTGCTCACTCGTACTAAACTATTACCAGCAGGTAGAAAATTTGATTTTGACCACCTTTGAATGTTTTGGGTTTCTTACATTACACTATATCAAGTTTCAAGTAAGACAGTTTTATCGACAGATTTCACGTGCAGAAGCACACCCACAGTCTTGGCCTGACTACAGATCAAACCAACCTGGCGCATGAATGACGCCGGGTGCCGACGCAGCATCGTCGAGAACGTCGAGAAGTGATGCACGATCTTCTTTGCCACTGTAAGGTTGGCCAGCAGCCGGAACCCCTCGACCAGAGACTTGGTGTCTCGCAGTGTGTACCTCTACGGGTCCAGCGGGCTCTGCGTCTCCGTGTCCAGCACAAAGCGCCCTTCAGGGGACGCCAGTGTTAAGGCGACAGCCTCGATTCGCTTGGCACGTAGCCTCGTCGCTCCCAAAGCACACTGAAGGTGAAACCAAATGCCGATGAGGATGACCTTGAAGTTGGGCTTGCGATCCGGGCGGAAGACGCAGATGTTCTCAGCTTGCTGCGACACCGTCACTTAGGTCGACGTATTGCCCGACGTGACTGTGATTATCTTACGGGTTGTCACCAAACTATACGCCCATCAGCTCTGCAAGAGAATATTTTGACGATACTGAATATGACTAGAGCATACTTTGTTGCAAGTAACACTTTGTCATGAACTGGATAGTTCTTCGCTGCAGCTGTGAGCTGGCGAGATTCAAACGCAATCCCGCGTTCACGCCCTTCGGCGTCTGCTTGTAGTAAAGCACAACCGATTCCAAAACCGGAGGCGTCACAGACGACGCTAAACGGACGATCCGGGTCCGGTAGCGACATGATCATAGCCTGGAGGAGGCTCTCCTTCACAGCCTCAAAGGATCCGTCGCACTTGACGTTCCAGCACCATGGTGTGTCCTTCTTAAGGGGATCGGATAATGGCCAGCCATCTCCGCGTAGCTCGCGCTGTACTTATGCAAGTAATTGGCTAAGCCTAGCCGCTTGCGTAAGTCTATTTGGCTCTTGGGAACCGGTCAGTCCACGATGGCCTTGACTTTGGCAGGATCGGCCCGTAAGCCACGCTTTCCCAATGAAGCCCCGAGGAAAGGTATTTCCTCTGCGCCAAAGACGCACTTGTCCAAGTTGGCATACAACTTATTAGTGCGCATACACTCGAGCACCGCTCGCAAGTGACCAAAGTGGTTCTCCACGTCTGACTTTCCGTGCTCAGCATGACTGTGGACGAATACATCGTCAAAGTACGTCTGAGCGTACGCCCGGTGGGGCCTAAACAACTGCGTCCCAAGACGATTGAACGTTGGTGGTGCATTCGATAGCAATTGGTAGTGACCATCGACTAAATCGAGTGCGCTGTACAGCGTACAACCTACCATGTTGCTCTGCAGATCATCCTTGCGAGGAATCGGCGTTTGCGCCGGGACGGCAGCCGCATTCAGCTTGTTAAAAGCTGAACAATGCGCCACTTGCCGTCCGGCTTTCTGCCACAGAACGTGGGTGTCGAGTGCGGAGACTTACTCTCACGCACCATCCATGCCTCGTGCTTCACACGGAAGAATGCGTCAACGACGTCACACTGGTCTCTCGGTAAAGGCCATTGCCTTGTCACGCAGTATTTGGTTCCAGGAGCCAGGTCAATCGCATGACACACGCCTCGATCCGGCGGCAGACCCATTGGTGGTCCTTTCGAGACAACGTCTCCATACTCATGTACCACAGGGTAAAAGGGATCCGAAAAATCTTTTAGGATCGTCGATCCACTTCTTGCGCTCAGCGCCTTATTGGTTTCATCTAGAATCCCCGGTCCCATGACGGATAAGGAGTTCAACTCTTTCCTCAAGTCCCAGCAGGACCGACTCGACTAGCTTGCCTGCCTTCAAGGCTTTGCTAAACTCGTCAATAAACATCTCCTCCAACTTGAGCAAAGCATCTACAGCGGGCAGGGTGTCAAGGCTGATGTCGTCTTCGACCTCCGCTGTCACTACATTGACGAGTGTGTACAGCTACAGCAATCACGTGGAGCCTCACCGCTCGTCCCGTTGGGTACCTCGTGCGACGTCGAAGACGTCACAGACGCCCTGCGTCTTCTACTCCTCTCCCTCCACGACCGAGCCCGGCCGGATGAGGGCGGTATGGCGACATCGCCATCACCACCACCGGGTGCAGCAGCACCATCACTCCTCGAAGAGAAATCTTTGAATCTCAAACAGTAAACTAGGTGTCACTTCACCTGCATCTCCTGGGCCGGGACCACGATGCCTCGACTCGCAGTCGACCGCGGCCCTCGGGCCACGCAGCGGTAGGTCATCGACCTGATCCGTACCACTCAGTGTATTACGCGCCACTCCGCGTCC